ATCTGGAGACGTGCAGTATCTTCTGTGGACCAAACTACTCCTGTCGACGTGGTTTTGTCTGTTTTTTTCAGGCGTCCCAGTGCAACAGCTTGTGATCTAGATGGCTAACTACAATGGCAAAGAGGAAAGAGAACCTGGAGCGCTTTGTGTTCACAAAGTGAAAAACGGCCTAGCAAAAGAAAAGGAGGTCCTCTGTATGAGGAGGCAAAGAAGAGCAAAAAGGAGAGTGACAAAAGAAGAGGAAAAACAAGAGTAAAGCCTGATTTATGGTCCTGCGGCGTACCTATGACGTACCTACATCGTTGCCGTGACGCCGTCGTGAACCCTTCGAACTTCTCCGTCACTCCATTTCGTCGCGGTGCAATTCACTGCCAGAGCGGTAGGAGGCTGCGTTCCTTTCCTGAACGGTTATCGTCGTCTCTAGTTGATTCTTTGTTTATCTTCCGGCTTTTCCGGTCACAGAGAAATGAACGCGGAGCACGGACAGACGGCTCCGTCCGTATCCGTATTGAACGTTGAGCATAAATGGGCCTTAATACTGCAACATCTACATCGCAACAGAAGATGTTTAAAGATGGCGGGGATGGCGCAATCTGGAAATATGGAACCGGTAATGCGTTGCTACTAAGAAAACCAATCACAGCCCTCTTGGTCTGCGCTGGGTCTGCGTCGCCTCGACCTGTAGTTACATTTTTGGGGAGGTGCACGTCAGGCTACGCCGGGGGCTACGGCGAGCCTTCTGCGTAGCCACATACACTACGACATAGCGACGTCGTTGATTTAACGCAGGACCATAAATCAGGCTTAAACCTCAGTCAGGCGTTCAAGAGATGGAGGAAGCTCCGTGACCAAAGAGGCTTCAAAACCCATGTCCAGCTAGCTTTCTTTCTAATGGATCAGTAAGTAACACGGCTAAATGTTAGCTAGACCAGAGAGGACTGTACTGTACTGGCTGCTAGTTCATTCCTAGCTGGCCAGCATTGCAAATCGCCGCAACGAGGGAGCGGGTAGCGAGTGTTGGTCGGCTAACATCCTGGTTGCCATTCTACGGCAGCCCTCGGACAGTGATACCCCCCTCCCTTCCTTCTGTTCTCTTCTCACGGAGGCAGCTATCGACGGACATCGTCCAGCTAAGTTAAGCCCACCTAGGTGAACACTGGACTTTTCACTGCAACGGCCTTAGACTGAGTAGCATCAAAATCAGTTAACATTATTCCACACAGCTCCCCCAAGCGGGCCTGGAGAGCAGGGAGATCATGTCGGTCATTGGCCATAAATGTGAGGGCAGCCTTCGCAGCTACTGGGCATCCAGCCCAGTAGCTGGAGTAAATTACTACTGGTACTGTGCATTCTGCTATAATTATTTGCCTTACTATTTGTTTTTTCTTCAGATAAATCTGATAATTGTTACTCGGTCTCTTTACTCATTTATTTAGTAGAGTGTCCACACACCTTCTCATTCTACATATTCATAGAGGTATACTGGTGGCTTTACAGCCTACATTTTATTGATTATCTCTGATCCCCACGCTCAGTTTGGTCGTTGCGACAGTGCGAGCAACACCGCTGACACCAGGTGGCGCCAAGCTAAAAAAAACGAACCCTATCTGTTGCCTCTTTAAAGGAATGGCAATTTAGTGTGAATTCAACACTTTGCTGAAAAGGGCGCCATCTATTGGACTCAGGAAAAAAAGACAATGCTTCACGAGGCTTCATTTGACCATCACTAGCAAGTAGGTTGTTAGCTCGGAGGTTGATTCTGAACACACAAATAGAAATTGAGGTGAATTGTGTCTGAAATATGCAGCTAATGGCAGGCTTATAACCACAGTCTACATTCTGTGAGTCAAACTAACCAACCTCTTATATTCACACAACACTAATGGATGGAAACAGACATTAATTTGTATTTTCTTTTGCTGTTTTTTGGACATTCAGTTAAAATTTTCTCTATGTTTGAATGTAAACTTGACTAATGATGATCCTGTGATTGTTCCTTGTATGTAATTTTACAACTGTTCCACTTCACCACTAATGAGCCTTGGATATGGCCCTGACACTACACTCTGCGGTATGATGGTGGTAATCTCGTGACACGTGGCTCACTTGTTCGATTGTTTTGGCTTTGCACGGAAGCTTTGAGAGAATTTCCAGAGAAGAGAGGAGACTTATTAAGACAACATCCTTAGTAAATATTTGCACAGAGTGAATAGCATTAAAAAACCCTTTACCAGCCACACCCTGCACATCGACGTCTCGCCACCAGACTATCAGAGATCTCCGCCTTCTGATAGTCTGGGGACACTCCTTTCTAAAGTGTGTTTAAACACACCGGAGAAAACGGCCAGCAACAAAGCAACGCCTCTTGCATTTTTGAAAAGGACACGCCCTCCCAGAAATGTGCGCTCCCCCTTTTCTCGTCCACAAGGAAACAAACACAGAGAGAGCTTGAAAATGGTTGCCGAGAGATTTAACTCAGTTTTAACAAACGTGTGCTCAGTCCACAAGATTGTGGAAATGAAGGACTTACAGCGACTTTGTTTAAAACTCAAAACGCAGTCGGACTATGTTTACGAGAGTTCAGCGAGCCACCGAAGGACCGCCCTGCGGATTTACTATTGGTTCTGCAACGTAGGGAGTTTTTTTAAACTCTGAAATTGTATCCGCCCATCCAAACACAAAATCAGGGAGAAAGACATCAGTCTTTAGTCAAGCAAAGCGTCTAAAGACTGACTTGTGAGTCTACGCACATCTGCACCTGGAAGCCTCTGAACAGTTCCACAGAAGAAGAAGAATAACTTTATTCATCCCCAAAGGGTCACTTCACATGAACTCTTTTTCAAGTAGGACAAAAACCACGTCGCACGAGCGTAAAAACTTTTTTGTGCAACTTAGGAAGTTTTATCGAATTTTGCTATTTCCATACGTTGTAATGCGATACTTCAAAATGCAAGTAAAAATAGGTTTATGGAAACATGACTGGTGAGCCATTTGGAACCATGTCAGCATTCCAGGAATAAAAGAACAATTTTGATCGAAAACTCTAAACTTTCCTACTGTTAAAAAATATATAGATGATACAACATGATGAAAGTTTATATGAACAGATTTTGTCACTCGTAACATTACTCTATAGCGTAATACTATTTAATGAATATAACCATGATCCAAGTTGTGGAACTACAGTGCACGTGATGGTTTGGTCGATGTAAACAGGAAGTCCTCTGTTGCATGGAGTGGTGATGAGATAGCTGTGGGATATAACTTGAGTTTAGACTATATTTGTTTAAATTTTGGCAACTTGGCAACATTACGTATGTTGAATTACAACTATGACTACTTTGATACTAAAAAAACGTAAAAACATGATTATTCTCAGGCAAAGTATGAATTCTGATGCACATCGCAGCACTCACGCAGTCAGGGATTTATTGCCTTCAACTATGTGTTGTTGCTTGAAATGCTGATGGTGTTGATAAGCAGCCAAATCAGCAACCAAACTGCACTAATTAACTGAATGTAGTTTCTGAAAGAAAGACATCCTTTGCTCAAGACAGTTATGTCTGAGCTGTTGTCTGAAATTCTTTATAAATGATTTTAAGTATAAAAATTATATTTATTACTTGGAAAGTGTAAAAATAATCATCAGTATATTTGTGGGTTGCAGTCAATTAAAGAAAATTCTGGACAAATGAAATTCTACTTTTTCTTCAACCAGCTGATTGGTCGATGAGAAAAAAAATCTTCATGTTATCTCTGGATGAACTACTTGCAGGGACCGTTTTTGCTATGGGCAATGTGGGCGAGTTGAAAAATGCTGCACTCTTCACTGTCACTTTTTACCATTAACTGTAAAGATAATTAATGACCACGTTTGGCAGAGAAGCCGATTCTGTTGAGGAGCAAGGGGTGGAGCTGACCGATGAGCCGAGGGCACTATCAGCAGACCCAAATTTGAGGTTATTACCTCAAGGTGTTTTTGAGATATTGTGTTCATGAGAGTAAGATGAAGAAGGTCACAGTGACCTTGACCTTTGACCTTTAACCACCAAAATCCAATCAGGTCATCCTTGAGTCCAAGTGTATGTTTGTTCCAAATTTAAAGAAATTCTCTTGAGGCGTTCTTGAGATATTGCGTTCACAAGAACGGACAGACGAACTTACATATGGACACATGGACAACCCGAAAAGATAATGCCTCTGTCCAGGGCTACTGCAAGTGCAGAGGCATAAAAAGAGGTAAAGAGAGAGATAAAGGGAAGCAAACCTGCTGGTGGATTATCTTCTCTTCTTCCTTCTCAGTGTCAGCCTGAGCGTAGATGTTCAAAAACCAAAGACCAGCTCTCATATACAGAAAATGATCTATCCATCAATCATAAAATATGTTTAAAGTACATTGTTATGGAGGGACAGGTACTTCCTGGATAGTACTTTGGCTGGCTGAGTACCCCTCTAGATATCACTTAGAGAATATGGTGAAGACTTAAAGCACCTATGTTGAGAGGAAAAGGTTCATGTCTCTTTACCGATGATGGAATGAGTAGTGTTACCAGTGGTCAATGGGGTACATATTCACGCATGGCATCACTCTTGAACAGCCACCATACACAAAGGAGAAAAGGGAAAAAATGAGAAAACTGAAAACAGGTGTCACTCCATTAGTAGGCAGGGTTTCCTGGTCTGGTCTACAGGGGCTGTGGTGTATTCTGCCAAGCAACAGTGACAGCCTCCTTTTAATCCTCTTGCCTTTTGCACATAAATCAATTCACTCCACTCCAGTTGATGGTGGACTAACCATCTGTGATGAGTTATTAGATTTATACCTGGTCAGTGCATCAACTGGCATCACCTCTCTGATAAAGGCACGTGATGAGGTCATGTTAATCAGAGTGAGCATGGCTGCATGTAAACAGGAATATTAGCAGGATTATCATTTTTATCAGTCAAGTAAACAGTCTTCGTAGGAATATTGTATCTTCGTGGAATAAGGGCAAATAAAGAAATATTATGTACATGTATCCGTCACTTATTCTCGCTATCTTTTCTTCCTCAGCAGGGGTTCAGGACACTTAAACATCTGCAAAGAAGGAGGTGAGGATTGATCCCTTTACTCTGTGACTTGTAGATGCTGACAACCCAATCTACCTCGCAAACCAGAACCATCAACTTTACCACCTCCATCAGAAAACACAGACCTGTCTCCCGTGCAGCAGTCTCACGTAGCAACACCTATCTCCACAGCGCTGTATGTGTCAAAATTAGAGAAAGATCTGGAATCACAGATTATCATTCTGCTATCGGGGAAGAAAATGCTCTGGCTTGTTTCCATGTCTTCAAATCACAATTGTCTTGGTGCCCACAAGAGGCGCTCTTGGTTTAAAGAAAAAGTTCAAGGGATGGCAAGTCCAACATGTCCTCATCCCAAATTGTCACATATGATGTTTGTCAGTGGACTTTAACATCTACATATTAAGCGCTACGTATCCGTTGGCGCTTTTGATGTATCAGAGTGGGAGAAAGGTTTAGAAAAAGACAGTAGAAAGCATGGCTCTGTAGGAAGCAAACACCGGCCTTGTGGGTCAAAGTCTGGGGTTTGTTTGACCCACCCACCCTATAGAGACTTTCCCAGTGGTGTATCATACCCATGTGGTGTCCTGCCGTGTTATGAACTGATATTGTCTGGCCGCATATCATACTGTCATGATAGGTGCCATCAGGCCACCGGGCAGAATATCATACCTCCATGAAAGGTAGCTTTTGGTTTCTGACTCCAAAATCGCAGACAAAGCAGCGGTATTTGATGACTTCACACTGCAGTTCAGTGTGCTTTCAACCCTTGGTTGAAAAGGGCACCATCTAGTGGGCTCAGGAAATATAGAAAATGGTTCTTGAGACTTCATTTGGCTGTCAGTGTGTAGGTTGTTAGCTTGGAGGTTGTTGTTGTTTCATGTAGTGATGGCGATTTTGAAAACGGTAACACAAATAGAATGTGAGGTGAATTCTGTCTGACATAGGCAGCTAATGGCAGGCTGATAACCACAGTCTACATCCTGTGAGTCAAACTAATCAACTTCTTCTATTCACACAACACTAATGGATGGAAACGGACATTAAATTGTATTTTCTTTTGCTGTTTTTTGGACATTCAGTTAAAATTTGCACTACGTTTGAATGTAAATTTGACATATGATGATACTATCATTGTTTCCTGTGAGTTATTTTACAGCTGTTCCACTAAACCAGTAATAAGCCTTGGATATGGCCCTGACACTTTGTGGAATCATGGTGTGTCTTGATACGGCTGACTTGTTTGATTGTTTTGTATCTGTTAACCGGCTTTGCACTGAAGCATTGAGAGAATTTCCAAGGAAGGAATGACAGTTATTAAGACAACATCTTTGGTAAATATTTTAACCTTTGTCTGCACAGTATATAAGAACTGGTCATCATCTTCATCCGCACATCCTCACAGGGTCCGCTGAAGCTACAGACACTCCGAAGAGAAGAAGAGAAGAAAGTCCTGCAGCAGGTTTGCACCAAACTTTATCATCTTCTGACTTTTATTCACAGGACTGACAGTCAGTACGGCTGTTCCCTAAACAAGTCTCACTAACACGTCTGTCTCTCGTAGTCATCGTCACCATGAAGATGCTGATTGTGTCTGCACTTGTTTGTGCCATGATGGTTCTGACCAGAGCTGCTGGTGAGTATAATACATACGGTACACATGTTAATAAACACAAACAGTCCAAGTCAATAACTGCAGTGTCAAACTTTCCAGCTC